CACTTTTCTATAATTTCGTTCTCTCTCCCAGAGCATCATTTTTACAAATAAATCATATATTCATAATCCTAAATTCATACAGAATCAAATAAGACCAATAATTCTCCAAACAGAAATAATTATAAAATTGCTCATAATCCTAAAGGATTCTTCCTCTACCCAATTCCCTCATGTAACTCTACATATAAATAATTCCCTTTTTCCCCGTACCTGGATAAACAACAGTTGAAACTACAATAGGGATCTCTTGATCTCCTCCTCTAAGTGCCCCATGGTCTTCAGAGAGAAGAAGAGGGGAAGAAGAAAGAACAGAAGAGAATAGGAAGAGAGAATGAGAGATGTGAGAAAATGAGAGGTAAGGCCTCCTATTTATAGGAATCTGCCTCAGCTATCCCGGAACGGCCCATTCCAAAAGTGGAACGACCGTTTTAGACCCTCCAGAACCAAGCAAAAATTTCAACTGGAACGTCCCGTTCCAAAACTGGAACGGGCCGTTCCAAAACCCAGCAGAACGACCCGTTCTCCAAACCGGAACGACCCGTTCTCCAACCGGAACGGCTTGTTCTCAACTACATTTTTTAGGAAAAATTTTTATTCCGGAACGGCTCGTTTCACTTTCGAAACGGCCCGTTCCAGGCAACGAATTGGGCCCACGGCCCAGTAAAAATTTGGGCTGTTACAACATACACATAGGGGTAGGAGCATGCATTACACGAGTCTTACATTATTATTATGTTATATTGTGTGATTGGATGATAAAGAATGATGGATGAAGGTATATTGATTGTCATTATTGATATAAGTGAGAATGTTTATGAGTATATGAGATGTTAATGAGGTATAAATATGTGTGTGTATCTCCCTTTATGTCTTGTATATGTTGTTTTATGGATGAGATGTATTCTCACTTTTTGTATTTGTATGTTTGTTTTAGGATTGAACAACATTTGCAGGATCAGTGTAAGTATAAGAAAATATGTTTGATGAGGAAAAGACATAAAGATAACTTATGCTTTGATAGTGTGAAATTGTGACAAAATTTTAATTTTAGTAGTTGTTAGACCGTTAAGTTTATCTTTAAATATGTTTTTATTGTCAGAACATCATTAATTATGAGGTTGTGTCTTATTTTAGTTCAAATAATATTCATATATTTTTCTTCATTTAATAAAGTGATAGATAAAGTTTTATGAACCCTTTTACTAATTATTGATAAGAAAAGTTATTTTATTTTATTTTTATTTTATCTCCAAAATTATTTATATTTATATTTAATTGTTTGGGATAAAATCGATGTTCCAAATATTATGAAGACCAAAATTATCTACATACTAAATTAAGTAACTTAAAAGTACAATAAAACCAAAATATTTTATCATTTTACTAGTGCAAATAAGATACCTCATGTATTCATGCATTTTATTTAAAAATTAAAGTAAAATAAAATGTAATTGAAATTTAATATGAATAAGTAATTATAATTAAATGGTGTGAACACTTTTTTTTTAGAAGTTATAGAAGTAAAATAATTATTTATGAACTGTTTAAATAAATATATAACGTAAAATAAAAAGTTATAAAATATAAATAGGACACAAATGTGTTTTAATAAAAATGAACACAAAAAAATATATCTCCTATATAGTTAGATGGTCCCAGCAGTTTTAGTTGCAAAGGTAAAAGTATTTATTTATGATGAATTTAATAAATAAAATTAAAAAATTAAAAAATTTATAATTATTATAAAAGAGATATAGAAGATGTAATTGTTTTTTAGATTTTATTTTTAATGGATTATTATATCTTAAATATAAAAAAAAATTAAATTTTTTTTAAATAATTATACACAATTTTCTAATATTTTATTAATAAATAATTATTAGAAATAAGAAGTCTTTTAAAAAAAAAAATATGTCATATAAAAGCGGAAGGAAGAGTAGAAATTAGTGTTAGAAAAATGCATACAGTTCCATCATTCCATGAAAGTGAATGTAACAAAAGACAAAGCGGCGAGGAACGATGATTGATGAGAACGAGAGGATACCTTGAAATTCACCACTTCCAATTCCAATAAACCACAAACACAAACCAAAACCCTAAGCAATTCATCATCCACCACTTTCAATTTTCGATTTTCAATGCAATGGAAGTTTCAATCCATCGTCGTCTTATCTGTTAGTTCTAACAACTTCTCTTTTTTCTATCTCTAACTCCTCACTTTGTTTTTTTTTACTCATTTGCTTCCCTTCTTTACCTTACAGGTCACAATGGAGCCAGATTCTTCGCACGACCCTCTTCCACCCTCGTACGTAATTCTCCATCATTCTTTCTTTCATGTTTCTGTTTGGTTTTGTTTGATTCAATGGCACTCGTATTGCAGTTGTGTGCTCAAAGAGGAACAGTAACTTATAAACACCCAATTTTGGGGACTTCACATAAGGGTGAGTGTCTCATTCTGCGTTACAAAGTATTGTTTATTATTCTGGTGTGTTTTTAACTTATCTGGTTGTTTCTTCTTAATTGTTATGCATGGTTGATGGTATAAAGGTTGGTATTTGTTACATTTGGTAAATGCCTGATTGTCGTTTATTTATGATTTATTATTTATTTTGACTTCATTTTCCTTTATAGCTTCTCTATGTAGCTTGCAAGGAATCTCCAGGAAGCACGAAAATGTGTCGTGGGTATCTGTTAGTCCTAAATTGTGGGTTCGGAGTAAATTCCCCAGAGATGTAGTTGTAAGATCTGAACTTACTGCAGCTGGATCTGCTGGGGATGGCTATTCACTACCCGGTAGATATAAGATGTTTGGTTTGGTTAGATTTTGTGATTTATGTTTGAACTGGGATGACAATTTAATTTGTCACCTGTTGATACTTGCTTAATTGCAGAGCTGAAAGTGGTTTCTAAAGCCAGGGGAGCTTGTTTTTATGTTGTCACTGCCTTTGCTGCCGTATTTCTTTTCATGCTGATGATGGTTGGACATCCATTGGTGCTCCTGTTTGATCGCTACCGAAGGAAGTTCCATCATTTTATTGCCAAAGTATGGGCTTCGCTGACTGTAGCGCCGTTTTTCAAAATTGAATTTGAGGGATTGGAGAATCTGCCTCATCCAGATACTCCTGCTGTGTATGTTTCAAATCATCAGAGTTTCCTAGACATATATACTCTTCTTACTTTAGGAAGAAGCTTTAAGTTCATAAGCAAGACTGGGATATTTCTCTATCCAATAATTGGGTGGGCGATGTTTTTTCTGGGTGTCATCCCTTTGAAACGCATGGACAGCCGAAGCCAGCTGGTATTCTTTCTCTATTATTATTGGTGTTAATTTTAACCAGTTCTTCTTGATTAGATGTCACATGTCAGTCAGTGTTTTCTGTGAAATTATTTTCCTCCTTTGGATTAAAAGATACCAATTAACCTTCAAGTCATGGTTTTCCTTGCTTCTTAACATATAGGACTGTCTTAAACGATGCATGGATCTCATCAAGAAAGGAGCCTCTGTTTTTTTCTTTCCTGAGGGAACACGCAGTAAAGATGGAAAACTAGGCACGTTCAAGGTGAGTTTGTGTCAAAATTCTTGTAATCATTATTGTCTTTATAGTCTATAGATAATTATGATTTAAGAAGCAAACTGATGGGCACCAAGATCCAAGTTAGGTAATGTTCCATTCATGGATTGGAGGCTGTTGATTATTAGGAGTGCATGTGATAGAAAATAGTTGATTTTGTATTAGAAAGCAGTTTTGTATTAGAAACTGTGTGATGGAAGTTATGCATAGAAGATAACCGCTGATAGTTATGTGTCAAGAATATATATTTGATAGTAGTTTGTGTAATTTGGAAGTGTGTTTTCATTCTCAGTATGTGGACAGAGAATACTCTTTGTAGGAGACATTGTCTCTAGGACAGACAGTGTGTTGCTGTATTTTGTGTGATTTCAATGTTCAACATTATATTGTAATGGTTTATCAATTGGTGTTCTGAGTTCTTACATTTTGGTTGACTTGCCTGATCCGAAAGAGGAGGTTCTGTGGCCAGTGAATTCATCACATCAGCCAGACTAATTTGACTGAGTGTATGGATTATTGGAGGAAAAAACGGAAGGTAGGAGGCCAAAAGTGACGCTTGCAAGGAAGAAAAGATAGGATGTAGGCAAATTTCCATTATTGAGAGGTTGTTAAGTAATGACCGAAATGAGGAAGGTGTTGGGCAAATGTGGAAGAAGAAAATGAAAATTTCAATTGCCAAGAGATTCTGCAGGAAATGGGTCTAATTTAGATTATCATCGTGATTTTTGATGACTATCATAAGGCAATCAATCGAAAAGATGAAACTGCCTGTCTTTGATGAAGAATACCTTGTTGGATGGAATGCAAGGCTAAAACCTGTTTCTAAGTGCAGACACATGTGAGAATGTCAGAGTTAAATTGGAAAAAACAAAACTTAGTATGGAAGGACCAACCTTCTATTGGTTCAATTTATAAAGAGAAGCCAAAGCACTTTTGGAAAAAAATTATGATAGCCTTGGTTGGTGGCAAGGTTTGAATCGAAGGGAGAAATGTTGACAAGTCGAAAGATTTGAAGCAAACAAGGACTGTTGATGACTTTAGAAGCTTTTGAATTCTTGAAAATTGCTGGATGATCAGTACTTGGGTTATTTTGTAGGAGGCTTACAGTTACAACTTAACATTAAGCAGAAATTGCATACCTTGAAACATCAATATCGGCTTCAGGTCATGCAATTGGCCAGGGGTAGAGGCAAAAATTTCAGATCTTCCTTCAATTTAACACTTGTGGGTTGTTTAATGTTGGCAAAAATGATGGTAGCAGTTTCAGCACTGCAGTGAGGCTATTGAAGAGCAGCATAGGAGGAAGCAAATTGCGACCTATCATTGTTCATAACCTGCCTCATCTAAAGAGTGCAGCAATTTAGATGGAGGGAAAAAAAAATGAGGAAGAACCAATTTCCTATGTTCTACCTTGAGGACAAGGCCGATTTTTTCTGCAAGCGGTGATGATGGGAATTGAGATCCCAAGTTAGTGAGGAAAGGATCCATTAATGGATTGATGGTAGTCGATTAGTAGGATTATGTGATAGAAAATAACTGATTTAGCAATTTTGTATTGGAATTTAGAAAGCAGTTTTATATTAGAAACTGCATGATGGCATTTATGCATACTGGAAGTTACGTATTAGGGTTATATTTGATGGTAGGTTGTGTAATAAGGAAGTGTGTAGTTATTAGCGGTGTGTGGACCAAGAATACTCTCTGTAGGTGACTTTTGTCTCTTGGACAGCAAGTTTATTGCTGTACTGTGTGATTTTAGTGTTCAATATTATATTTTATTAGTTTATCAATTGGTGATCTATGACAAACAATTGTAGATCATAACGAGTTTTTGATGTAATGAAGGGAAAAGGGGCAGAGCTAATAAATAATGATATCAGAGTAAAAATATATTATTTCATTGATACCAAGATGTACTGTAATCACTCTTCAAAAAACTTAATACATTTATTTATACTAATTATTTAATCATATAGGTCAAGTACTGGTGTCAGTGATTACAAACCTAACCCAACAACACTAACATGACCCCTAAAGGATAAGAACACTAATATTCAAATGCACCCCTTTGTGCCAGCTTGTACCACTACCAAGTTCTCAGTTTGTTTCAGATACCACAGAAAATAACTTGGAAGCTGTATAATGTTCTCCATAAATCTCACATAAACTTTGCTGGATGACAACAACAGAATAACATGAGGCCGCACTAGATATAATATAACAAAATTTGGATTGCAATTGGGAGATTATACAGCATGAAGATGGCCGTAATGTTGTACAGTCAAAAGAACTGTTTGAAATATTGCATGACCAAGGAGGTAAAACCAATGTATTGGGAGTTATTTTGGCAAAATTTGTTGCTGAGTCTGGTTGCAGATCAATTCATTGATTAGAGACTAAAAGGGTGGAGAAACACATTCAGAAACCACCAGGATGAGGTAAAGCATGCTAGAAAAGTGCAAGCAGCCACTGTTTTTCACTGGAAAGTTGTGTGAAAGCCTTGAGTAGGGAAACAACTAAGTCTCTAGTGTTCAGAGTTTGTCCTCAATTAACAATAGAGATAATAATAATGGGAAAAGGACAGGAGAAAGAAAACATAAATAAATTTTAGATTTTTGGGAACTCAGCTATGAGCTACAGGATGGTGACAGCTGAAGTTACCAACAATGCTGTTTCTTTGGTACCACCATGTTAAAATATTATATTAAATTGTTGGAAAGCTGCCTTAAATGTGGTCACTAGTAGATTGGAAAGGGCTATCTATGGAGGGGTTGACCAAAAAGGCTGAGATAAGAATCGTTGAATGCAGCTATCCAGATGCAGCTCTTAAGTGGTTGAGATCCCACATCAAGTAGAGATATGACACCTAAGTAATGCTAATAATGTTTGGGCAGTCCACAATTTACAAATCAGTTTTGTAAGATTGAGTTAAACCTTGAGTCCAAATTATAAAATTGTATCAAATCCTATACCAGATCCATTGTTTGGCCACATACATTGCCAGCTTGCCAGGCTCTAGGCCTGTAGCCATGGGCATGAGGGGGTGTTGGAAAGCTGCCTTAATCATAGTCACCCATAGGCTAGAAAGAGCTACATAAGGAGGTTTTGACCAGAAGGGTTGAGCTGAGCATTGTAGAGCGCAACCAACCACTAAGTTAATTTTATGAGGTTGAGTTAGATCTTAGCCTAAATTCTAAGATGGTATTATCCTAGATCTATTGTTGGGTTACTTGCATTGTCAATTAGCCACTCTCCAGTCTGTAGCCCTGGGTGTGAAAGGGGGTGTTGGAAAGCCGCCATAATTGCAGGTACCCCTAGGCTGGAAAGAACTACCTACGGAAGGGTTGACTAGAAGGGAAGAGCCAATGAGTTAAGTGTTGTAAACTGTAACCATCGGGATGCAGAAGCGGTTGAGATCTCACATTGAATGGAGATATAACCTAAGAAATGCTTAAAGACTTGGATAGTCTCTACCTTAAAAGTCAATTTTGTGAGATTGAGTTGGACCTTAAACTAAATTCTAAGATAAATAAATGTAAAAGTAGGGGTAACATAAATATTAAGTTTTACTGATAAAACTTTCTTATACTGACCAGCATGTTTTGTGAATGTTATTGTTGATTCAGCTTGAAGTTTATTATCAAATAGCACAATAAGGAGTAGGTACTTACTAAAATAATATGATAAAAAATTAGGATAATATAATGTGAGTAATACCTGTCTTTATGAAAAGAAGATAATACCATATATAAGAGTATTTGGTTAGCCCATAGTGTTGGAATGACAATAGTAAAACCAGTTAAGATTTAAGAATACTGGCTATGAAAATTTGGATGGCACATATGGGAATTCAATGGAATGACAGACTGGGTTTTAGCATGAATGCATGATTGACTCACCTAACTCCTCACTGAAAATAAAAACCTCCTCCTCAGCTTATATAATGATTACGGAATGTCAAATATTCAAATTGAGATCAATTACTTTCAACTCTTATATATATATATATATATATATATAAGTTTAGA